AGAAGGATTTTACAAAAATGGATAATGATATCTACACAGGAATAATGGGGTAAGAATCCACCATGTCATGGGAGGGTTTGAAAATGGGCAGATACCATCGAGAAACAAAACAACAGCAATAGAAAATTGATTTGAAGAGTCAGGGTCAAAATTTGAAACACTGAAGTTTCTCACATAAAATCTTTACAATGTGGGACTTGTAAATTGTTAGAGAAAGACTGTACCACAGAGAGCACCAACATCAGGCTGAGTTAAGAGGGAATTTAGAGAAGGAAACCTAAAAAAGCAAATAAAAGACACATGAAATAAAGTTTCACACAAATTATGTGAGCTAATTTTAACCATCAGCCTTCAATATGATATGGAGCAAATCATGACAATATCAATTTTTTTTAATGATCAAAATACTTTTTGTTTTTTGTTTTTTTTGCGCATTTGAGGAATATTTTATGCTCAAAAGAGATGTTTCAAAAAAGAAAGAAAAAAAATTCTATTTCATGAAAATAAGCCCAAGAATAAATTTAGAAAATTTATAGTTTAATATATTTGTAATAACTGTTATTCTTCTATTAATAGTTCTACAAACAGCATTCCGTCAAAAATAATATCCATAATCATTTGTGATGATTATAGTTTAGATACATAAAATAATATTCAAGTATAAAAATAGAAGAAATGTGAAAATATAAAGAAAATGTAGAGAGAGAGTGAGGGAGAGATAGAGTGTGTGTGTGTGGATAAATAGTTTGAAATGCTTCACAAGATTTAAAAATTAGGATAAAAAAAAAAAAAGCCAAATTTAAGCAATAAACTTCTATTTAAAAATGCTTAGAAATGCTTATATTTATGCTGTTTATTGGTTGGTGTAGGCTAAGCTATTTACTAAGCAAAGAAAAAATGTTTTACCAATAAAATTTGCAAATGTTAATTAACAATTTACTGCAGCTGAGGTATTAAAATAAAATGAGTATAAACAAAAAAAAAAAAAAAAAAAAAATGTAAAAATAAGGTAAGTACAGATTTAAACAGTTCTAAAAGTTCTATCATTTAAAAAAATGTGATTTGAAAATGTCAATATATTCAAAGAAATAAATAGCTACTTAAATGCTAATTACAGAATTTAAATTTTTCAAATTGACAAATTAGTTTTACTGCTTCCAAGATAAATATGAACGAACATTTATTTTTTACTTTATATCAATATTCACAATTTAGAAGAATCAACAGAAAACTATAATTTCAGCAAAAACTAATTTTTTTTGTTTTTTTAAACCAAAGTAAACAAATATGAGAAGACTAAGTTTGAATGCTTTTTTTTTTTTTTTATTTCAAATTTCACTTAAAAAAGGGGGTTAGACAATCTGTCATTTATGATAGTTCTAACAAAAAGTAAAATAGTATTTTCTAAAGTACTCCAATAATAATGGCAGCATTGTAAGAAAATAAAACAATACAACGCATAATATCACAGTAAATTTCTTAATGGCACGCAAACACTAATATATATATATATATATATATATATATATATATATACACACACACTTATCAATCAAAATTGATTTAAACTGTTATGTTTAAGTCTTATTTTCTTTAAAATAAGACAATACACCACACAATCTCTTAGTTACGAAAGGAGAGAAAAGAGAAGGGACATACAAATTTAGCTGTTTGGTGTAAATAATTGATATCATTAATGACAGGAGATAGAACAAATTGTTAAGACTGTCAAAGACAATAGTGTTCAAATATTAAGAGGACAAAGTCTTGTTTGAGTAAATTTTAAAAAATAAATTAAAAAAGCAGCAGTAAAAACCTATATTCCCACTAATATTGGTCAAAATTTGATTTCGACAAGTGTTATCCAATCAAGATTCAATAAAGAGAAGAGAGAATAGATACTTTTTCCTTTTTTTTTTTTTCAATCATTTTTGTTTCATCAAAATTTGAACACTTGAGTGGTTAAAACAAAAAAACAGAAAACATGAGTGACTATGAAACTTAATGAGCAATAATGATTTTAATAAATTAAATTTTAAAAATGAAAATAAAAATAGAAACATATCCACCCATATTAAAATGGCATCCATCTTAGAGTAAATATAAGACAGTATTCTACATATTTGTGAAATAATGATCTGACAGTAAAATGATAGCTTCAAGTATAGTGGTGAATAACTTAAAAATTATACAAGTCATAATTGAATAGAAAACCTCCCACAATGAAATTAAAAAATAATTTAACATAAGTAAACCCATTTAATTTTTTTTTTAAATCAAAAGTTAAGATTTGATATGCAGTAAGAATTTTAAATAATATACAATTTTAAAAAATTTTTTTATTTATAAAAATTTACATGTGAATCAAATACTTGTGTCTATTGAGAAAAATCAAGTATTATTGAAAGATCTACTGAAGTAGATATTTGAATTAATATCTGGAAGGTAGCATAAATAAAAACTTGCTTTATATATATATATATATATATATATATATATATAATTTTTCTAAAAAGTCTGTTAAAAAAAATGTAAACTTCATGTATATGAAAAAGTTTCTTCATGGAAACATCTCAATAAAAACATAAAACATTCTGATTATAAAAAAAAGAAAAACAAAAAACACAAATAGACTTTACTTATTTCACTGACAACCTTTAATCGGAGGCAGGTGTTAATTACTAAAAAGATTTACTTACCAAAGATTTTAAAATGATAAAATCACTTTTGGCAGAAAAAGATTTCATTACATTTTCACTATCCCATGGTGATAATAAAGAATCATAGATTCATGAAGCAATTATTTTAATTTTATAAATTTACCTGAAAGAAGAAGAGGGAGGGGAACGATACAGTCATGGTAAAGGAATAAAATAATTGTTAATATTAAGTTGTTAATGAATATTGTTATAACTCCATTTCTTGAGATTCCCATAGAAACCCAGCCAACTTCTAATTAGGACAGCAACCAGTGACTGTTGTTTTCATATAGGAACAAAGCCTTTAAAATGGTAATTCATATCTATGAAGACCCTTATTTTACTCCTAAAACCATATGCACTGGTATATATCATTTGGAATTACAATTAGAATAAATTTAGAAGACAACACAAACTAGTCATCAGGCAGATATATAGTATTGGTCACATGCAGATATATGCTGCGTTTTTCTTTTTTTTTTTTTTTTTTGTTTTTCTTTTTTCTTTATCTATGATGTCTTTCTAACCCATCTACTCAGTTCTACTGAAAGACAAAAGTAGGTTGCACAAAAAACTTAGCAAAAATGCTACAAAGCATGAATGCAAGAATGTCTGACCAAGGATAGAATTGGGCAAATCATAAAAGAGTAAAGAAAAAAAAATAAAATAAAATAAACAAACATAACAAAACAAAAATAAACAGTGAAACAATAAAAAGTGCCCTGGAGTGGCCAAGTATGAATAACACCAGTTTGAGATGAAGACAATATAAAATTGAAAGACATTTCTTGTCATGTTAACAATTTGGCATGTTTTGTCAAGAAATAATCTCCACTGCTAAAAATCTAATATATATAAAATATATATATATATATATATATATATATATATATATATATATATATATATGTGCACGCACACACACAACTCACACACACGGATTTTAACTTATAATTTAATGCTGATAGTCACAAACATTACACAATTCGGACAAAATAATTTAAATCATTAAAAACAGATGAAAAGAAGTTGACACTGCTGTTGGAATTTATTATAGTTTTCTTTTCTTGGAATGTCCCTTTCTAGATGAGTAAGCAGAATAAAAAAAAAAACTCAAAATGGTTAGTCATTAAGGTGAGTTGTTGCAACTGTTTGTACTTTTTATTCTCCCTGGTGCTTGATCATTCTAGAATCACAATTTCTAACAGTGCATATACTTCACAATAGCTAAAACAACAAAGTCACATGACTGTGACTATCTAATGCAATATAGTCTATGGCGGTAAAGGTTTTAAAGAATCTAATAATACTTTTGTCATTATAAACTGGTGATAATCAACTGTTTGGTACATCATGGAATTGAATTCAAAGTTCACTATAATACACTATACATCCCCCCCTTTTTGTGATTTTTTTTTTTTTTTTTTTTTTTTTTTTAAAGAACATTGTGATAATTGAGTTATCACACCAGCTTGCAAATAGTAATTACAACAGCTCCCTGCAGTATGTGCAGAAGCAACGAGGCAGCAATGAGAGTGGGCCAGCCATGTAAACAACATGAATATAATTCCACTCAATATTGACATTAATTGACAGCTATATGGGTAATTTGTATGCAGTAAATTTTCTTTTAAGACTAATGAATGAAATGGAAAAGTTCTCCATTGAAAATGGACAATACCTGCTGTCAGGTATAAAAATACGTACAAACATACACGCATTATGCAATTCCATGCATATTATATATATATATATATATATATATATATATATATATATATATATATATATATATATAGTGTGTATATATGCACAGCACATCAACATGGCAATATAGAAAATAGGACAAATCAAAACTGTACTAGCTCAACTAGCAGAGAGACCACTTAGCAGACAGATCCTACTGCCTATCGGACCCTGAAATCAGTGATGTGGCACAACGGGATGAAAGGAATATATTTACTGCGTTCACAGTCAATTTTATGTTGTAATCAGTCAGCCTTTGAATAGTGCCTGCAACTTCTCCTCCAGACAGCATTGGTGGGTGGTATATGAGTGGGCAAGTGAAGAGAGGGAGTTGCAGGTATTATTTGAAAGATTGCTGACCAACAGACTGACCATCTGTCTGTCTGCCCCAAACTTGGTAATTGGGCAAATATTCACCTATACGTAGGCCAACACCACCTTGGACACAGCAGGTTCAGCAGGTTGGAAAAAGACAGTCTGTGACCATGCATGCAGATCGGGCTACTGTCTAAAAACCTAGCATGAATAAACCATATTAAGTAGACAAAGATATGATCAGTAGTTGCGCATATTTTCTGGGGGTCGACGAGACAGTGTTGAAGTATCAGGAGCTCGCCGGCTTCGCTGGGGTGACTGTTGCTGACTGGCAAATGTTTCCCCTGTTGTTGTTGTTGTTGTTGTGGTTGTAGTGGTGGTGGTGCTTGCTGATGATGCTGTTGGCGATTCAACATTTTCTTCTGTAGAACCCTCTCGCCCTTTGCCATCCTTGGTTTTAAACTTTTTACGCCAAGATGGAGCACGTCTGAATTTTCCACCTTCACCCTAGACAAGAAATAAAATAACTAATAAGAAAATCAACACAGACGTTAGGCATTCACTTGCAGAAAAAAAAAAAAATTAACCATAATAATGCCTGTAAGAAAACCTTTCGGTTACATGTTTAATTTTTCTTACAAATTTTAAGATGAACAAAATGTTATTAAAATGAAAATTAAAGTCAAAGAAATGACTGAATATTTTTTTTTTTTTAATTCTAAATTTGTTCAGAATAAAGGAAATATTTTCTGCAAGTTTTTTTTTTCTTTGCTTAGTGAATTTAAAAAGACTAATTTTTCAGTAAAACTACAAATAAACTAAGTCCCTTAAATTTGCAATAAATATTTTCATTATAAAAGCATAATCTTAGTAAAACATTTTAAAATTGTTTTGCTTAATCAGATGACTTACTGAATTTTCAATGCATTAAGAATAAAGAAATTAGTTTATAACAAAGCTCAATATTTAATGAGAAGCACAAGAAGTTTCCTATTTGTACAACTCGTACATTACAAATAATCCTAAGCTGAATCCAATGAACATTGATTGATTCATTTTTCTTTCATTGAACCCAAACTGTAAATAGAAATTTTATAGCATTTAACTAGCAAAGGGGAACCAACATGTCATACACATCAGCTTGTACTACCTGAGAACAAAGAGCAAAAAAATAAAATAGGATCATAGCGAACATAAAACGGTCCATTTATATTTACAAAGAGCTCAGAATAATTAACTATATATTCAACAAATGTAGGTTTACTTATTAAGTTTCGCAGGGAATTTTATAAATCTAAGTATACTTTTAAAAAAGATTTTAAAATGCCTTGAAATCAAAAGTTATGCTTTCAATATACATTTTTTTCTTTTTTATTAAAAAAAAAAAAAAAAAAAAAAAATCAGCATGCAATAGAATTTATGGCTTTGAAAGGGTGAATTTTAAAAGTTTTTGAACAAATATCAGTATAACTTCATTTTTAGGATTTAAAAAAATTAAAATGAAAAAAAAAAAAACATTCATTTAAATCAAAGCTAATATCAATTTAATGTATTTAGAAGAAAAAAAAAAAAAAAAAAAGAAACTTAAATATAGACTCTTGACAAATTTTTAATTCTAAATGCTACTAAGGATGGCAAACAATAGGATTTACTGCAAAAGACTTGTTGAAGCAATAAACATCATCACCATAACACAAATGGCACATACATCAATGTGATAAATAAGGATAACAGATGTGAAAGAACTATTTGAAACCCAAAGATTTAAGCCAATTTACAATGGCTATCCACTGCTGAAGAATACTGGAACTTAAATTCTCACCAAGACAACATTTAACAGAATTACACTCCTAAACAGACCTTTTCATCGAGCAATTCTAGAGGCAATACCACTAACATGAGAAAGAAAATATTTTTCATTTAAAAAAAAAAAAACACAACCACAATATGAATATCATGCACTTTTCGGTACTATTATTATTATTATTGAGAGAGAAAAAAAAACAAAGAAAAAAAAAAATGAAAAAACACTTAAGAAGCAGTGGGAGAAATTAAAATCCAAATTATTTTGATGAGAAGGAATTATGTACTGAATTAAAAAAAAAAAAAAAAAAAATATTCATTTTTCTTGCAAAATTTATAACAGGATAAAATTTTTTTTTTTTTGTAAAACTAACATTTTTGTATTTTTAATTCTTGAAAATTTTTTTAAGCCAAACGAGTTTTTAAATGAAGTTATCCAAATAGAGCATTCAACAAGAAAAAGGGAAAATTAAAAATGCTATCTTGGACAATAATAATAATAAAAAAAAAAAAAGAATTAATAATTAGACCTCCCCTTTCTCTCTCTCATATATGTGTGTGAGTGAGAGAGGGTTCATTTATTTAAAATCATATGGAGTTTATATGAATGTATTTGAAGTAGAATTGAAAAGGATTCCAACCAATAAAATTAAATGCTTTATCAATGGGAATAGCAAATGAGGTTACTTAATAAAACAAGAAAAACTACATTCAATGGAATATCAACAGAGCTGCTGCACTTTCCTATTGAGAATCACTTTCAGTAATTCAATAGAGACATTAAGAATAATGAAGAATTTAATACAAAATATTTCTATAACTATTAAAATATCTATTTACTTTTAAATTTGTTCCTTCAAAATTGTAATTTTAATAAATTGATAAATTTTCAATGTCTGTAACTAACATAGTAAAACAATGTAAAGAATATATTAAAGTCATGCAATAAATATACACACACACTAAAAATAAAAAGGGGGTTGGTAAACACACCATTATATACAATGTTAAATAAAAAAATAAAAAAAAAAAAAACATGCACTCAAACATGCCATACTAAAATCAACTATAAATTTAGAGATGTAAATACAGACTGAAAATTAACAGCTTATTTAAATACATAAAGAAAAAGAAAAAAAAAAGAAAAAAAAAAAGAAAAGAAAAAAAAAGGAAAAAAAACAAAAAAACAAATTCAATAGTTTAAGACATTGAGCATTTCACAAAGAATTTACAACAACCGAAATGTAGGTGTGTAAAGAGGAAAAAATGAGCTTATAAAAGGGGAAGGGATTAAAAAATAAACAACATGTATGTAGAGACAACCTTCAGAAAGACAGACAAGATGAAATCACCAAAGTGTAATAGAGCTTTTATCTGAAGCTAACAATAAAAAGATTCTATAAAAAGGAAAGTGAATATTTAGAGAAAATATAGAACCATTCAGGGAGAATGAACAAAGTAGAAAGGGAAGTGAAAGAAAAGAGAAAAAAAAAAAAAAAAAAAAAAATAATAACAATCAGTTCAGAAGAAATTGTCAGCCAGTGAATTAAGAGAACATTGACAACACCACCCAAGTCTTTTTTCTTCTTTTTATTTAAAAATGTTGTACATATCATTCTTCCTATTTATTTACTTGTATTTAGCAATTATTAAAGTTATAACAATTTCAAAACAGTGTAGATAGAAACCGAGTAGCAATTAACACTTAAACTATCTTTATTTGAAGTTTAAATATCTTTTATATACAAATTTATGACAAAAACTTAAGTTTATAATCATTTTGTTGATTTCGCTAACATCTGAACTTCTAGCAATCTGCTTTGGATTGTAAGACTAACTATACTCAGAAAAATCTTTTTTCTCGATATATAAAGTAAAAGTGATAGTCCATTTAATATTCAATCAATAGATTGACTAATAACATAGATGTATAGAAATAGCAAACTTTTTTTTTTCTTTTTTTAAAAACCACCCATTAATTTTACAAAATTTGAACAAATTTTATTGTCAGATTCTCAAAGACTATTACGTTTTGCTATATGAAAATTAAAATTTATGTAATAACCCTCAGTAAAACTGGTTTTCAATTGTGCAAATAGAAAAAAAGAGTTCATCACTAACTCACATACACACACATGTGTATATATATATATATATATATATATATATATATATATATATGTGTGTGTGTGTCATCCACATACAAGCCTGTTTCACTGTATCACAGCTCATCAGTGTGGCTAGACATCTGATATTTTTTTTTTTTTTAATTTGTTTTTAATATAGTAACTAAGAAACTGAGGTACTGTGAAGCACCTGAGCAGTGGCTATAACCTCTACAAGACATAGGAGTTGAGAACTGGACTCGTTTCAAGGTCAGAATGGCATAAAAAGAATCAAGAGTGACATGTAAACACGTCTTTTTGAACATCATTTTAGGCATGTCTGAAAAAGACACTTTTGGTAAAAAACATATATACAGGTCTATGCTCTTAGAAATATTGAGAGCAGTAACAAAGAATTTTCCAATATGACACAGGTAATAAAAAGTTGCGTATCACGAGCTGCTAACCACAGTGACCAGGTGAACAGGCAGAATGAGACATGGATCTGTGCCAGCTCCATAGAGGTACCCATGATGATACACACTAAGTTTATGTCATCTATGAAGTTCCTAGGGGTCATGAGCAATGAATTCCATATTAGGCCATCTCACTTTTTCCCCACAAAGTGCCAGGATTAATCTCAACATTGATTTCAAAAGATTCTAGACACTGGAGTCAATCCTGGATTGAGGAGGTGGTTGTATATGTTTCAGTAGGGCTATGCTCCCATCCAAGGGATACAAATGTGGCTGTCAGAGAATTTTTCATGATCATATAACTCCATTATCATCACCACCATCATCCCCAACAATGTGGCCTCATAACTCCCCCGATCCAAATCTACTAGATGTAGTAGTCCAGGGAGGTTTCAAGAGGAAAAACAATGTTCCACAATAAATTAATAGAAAGATAAATCTTATCAATTTGACCAATATTAAACATGTCTCTTTATATCAGAACAATGTTAGGCAAATAAATGACAAAGTGACATGAATTTTGTGTAACACATTTCAGCCTCTAGGATTTTCATTGGGCTAAAGTAATGTTTTTGTTGATGAAATTACTCATGTATAAGAGTAGGGAGATATAAAAATACAAGCATAAATTAAAATTATGTACCGACAGGAAACACTCAATATGTTGAAATACTAAAATTTTTTTAATTTATCACCCACCACCAGCATCTTCAGTGTTTCCTGTCAATGCATAATTGTAATGGATGCTCATGTTTTTATATCTCCATCTCCCACACACATAATTATAATCAAGAAAAACATTACACAGAATCTTTTCCACTTTGTCATTCATTTGCCATATATATATATATATATATATATATATTACAGATTATTCTTCATGCCAAAACAAAAATATTTTACATGTGAAATTTGCTTTACTGCCCAGAACTTTATTTTGCTTGCATAAATTAGGAAAAAAAAAAAAAATCAGCTGTTCATTAAAATCAGTTTAATGAGAATGAAACTAATAGTTGTTTTTTTTTTTTTGTTTTTTTTTTTTTTAAGTTATTGAAAGCAAGAAAAATATTTTTAGATTGTAAGAATTTTCTGGAGATAATGTTTTTATTGACATGACCTACTAATTAATCCAAAGCTGGGGAGAAGAGGTGGATTCATATCTTTCCCAAAGATATGTGGGTGTAAGTGAATATAACAAAGCTGACTGAAATTGGAACTCTGCTTTCAGATTTCCAATTCGGAGTCATTAACCATTACAATACACACATCCAAGCTTACAACAACTAGTATTTCGAAGCAATCACTCATCTAGGTATTGACCAGAAATGACATCGCCCAACTTTAGTAATCATACAAGAACCGGTGTTTCAATATGATATGGCCATAAGCCAATTAGAATGAGAGTGGTGGGGGAAGGTTGCTGTACTCAATATTTTTATCACATATGTTTGCTGACAGTAGATTTATTCTTTATTAAGAAAACCCGTTACTTCAAACACAAGATTTTCTACTAGTATTTCTGTTTAAATTTACATTATGAAGTAATGATTAGCATGTATTTTATTTACTTTAGGTGTATACAACAACATGCTAAAAATAGCTGTCTTACTAAAGAGATTTTTTTTCAACTAGATTTTTTAAACTAATTAAACAAATAAAAAACAGATATCATTTGCTTTACTTAAGTAAGGTTTAAATAAGTGCTTACTTAATTCCCTTAAATTTTCTTTTTATATTCAAAGGAGGTTGAAAACTTTACAAACAAAAAAAAAAAAAAATACAGAGTCCATCCATCTAAGAAGCATGCTTAACAAAATGGTATACTCATGTAAAATTAGGTGACAAAATGACAACCACTTATTTATATGCAAACATAAATCTATAAAGAGACTCCAAAGCAGAACAAGTATCTAATTTAAAATTTCAGAGCTTATGTATAACTGAATCAAGAATACAGATTATTATATAAATTTTTTAATAAAAACAGATTTTGATTTTTTTAAAATAATTTTATCTTTTTAACAGGAAAAAAATAGTCTTCAAGAAAATTAGTGATAGGAAAATACAATTTGAATTTATTTGAATGTTTACTTTATTTAATGCCAAAAGACCATATTGCAAAATCTTTGGCACACGTGTGTTTTTACTGATATTTATAAAAAATGTTAAATCATGTGATTCAAAAGAAAAAAAATATCAAAGTTCTATGATAACTGTATTCATGGATCTTTCAATAAAAAAAAAAAAAAAAAAAAAAAAATCAAAAGTCTTATGTTAAAGTTAAATCAGAAGAAAAATGTTACCACTGGCAGAACTTTCTACTATATGAAGTACAAAGAAAGGGATAATAATGAAAACTTATCTGGATATATAATAGATAGGTAGAAAGATATTCTAAGTTTGTATGAAGGCAGGTAGGCAGTAAGGTACTACTAGTGATGGACTACTCACCATTGAAGGGAGGAGGGAGTCACACTTAACACTGTATCAATAGTCACTGGAGGTTGGTGCATCAGATCAAGTGCTCATCCCACGAGGGCGGTCCCTGCACGCTTAGCGGTAGCCTGCTGTGCACCTTGCAGAAAAAGTAGTAGCAGACTTCTAAGTGCATGGCAGAAACATATCACTTGTGACAACAGCTAGCAGCAGCAGTAGTAGTAAGAGGAGGACGACGACGAGGTAGCAGGCAGCAGAATGGCGGCGATGATGAACTTGGTGGCAGTACAGCAATCTCTGATGGAGGAGTCTCAAGAGGAGGAGGAGGAAGAGGAGGAGGGGACAGGGACGAAGGGGGAGTGAAAGGAGAGCAAGTACTCTCAATGGAGCAAGAATGTAGTGAATAAAAAATTCACTACAATAAGATAGATGAGGAAAAGATGACATGTCTGCTACAAATCAAAAGCTATCAAGGTTTTAAAATGAAAAAGCTAATGAATTTAAGACAGACAAGGTTACATGAATAGAATTATTTTATGCTAAAGTGCTTCTGTAGTAAAAGAATCTAAAAATATAGATCTTCAAAAGTTTATTGGAATATTTAGACAAATGTTTTTCAGTAATGTTCATCTAAAACTGGGAAAATGGTTTTAGGTCATTTTTAACTCCTGAAATCAATGAATAATTAATTTCAAAATATATATTTATATAAAATGTAATATTTCACAATCATTTTTCTTTTTCTTTTTTTATTGAAGTTTGTCACAAATTATCCATTTTACTGTATTTCAAAATAGAGAATTTTCAGTTTTGAACTTTCTAAGTTGTGAGTAAGGCTTGTTATTTTTTTTTTATGAAAAATCACGTGAAAAACGTATTGGCAAATCTCTAATATTCAGGTAATAAAGGAGGAACACTTCTAATTTCTACAAACATATTTCAGAGCAGATGGTCAAAACAGTAAGAACTTTAGCTAATGGCAATCTTGATCATGTAAAGATTAAATACAATTTGTTATTGATACTATAGTTTAAATGTAAAGTAAAATACTAAACAGAATTCTACTGATCAAAGAAATTACACTTTTTTTTTTTTTTTTTTTTAACTTATGTATTTTCATATAAAAGAATAGAGGATCAATATTATCATATTCTAAAACCTCTTTAAATAAACAAACAAACCAGCTGTTTTTGATAGACAACAAGACCATCTCAAAATGAATGTTTATCTAAAATTGATAAAGTTTTTTTGGTTCAACATACTTTAGGAATGAAAGTTACAAAAAATTGAGATACTTGACTTTATAATAGTGAAAAATTTAATGTCATTAAATAGTTACAAGTAAAAAATTATATTTGAGGGTGTAAAATGACTACAGCTATAAACCAGTGAGTTTCTCAATACGAATCATAATCTATTCTATTTTTGTGCTTAAAAATTATAGAAATTTTCATACTATGGCCTTAGGTTATATTATCAGCTTCCCAAATCAGTTTTACTCACCTAGTACTATGTTTGCTATTAGGTCAAATAAGACCAAGAGTAATTGTTATATTGTAATTTCTCAGGTACAGTGATTCAAGGGTTTCTATTGCATCATAATTCTTAAATCTTTAAAAAAAAAAAAAAAAAAAAAAAGGCACGTGAATTACTTTCATTTCACAAGTTAACAATTGGTAAAAGAAAAAAAGTCTAAAAATTAAAATATGAAAACAAAACCTTATCAAGATATCTATTTTTAAATTTAACTACAAGAGGAAGAAAAAAAAAAAAAAAAGAAAAGAAAAGAAAATGGTTTGATAGACACTGAAATAATGACTTAAAAAATTTACAGACATGTCACCCTAAATAGGCATGGTATTTAATTTACATATACAATGGTACGTAGATATGAATAAAGACAGAAATTGAGAGAGAAGTAGGGGAGGGGTGAGAAAGGAAAAAGGAGGAAATAAGCAAACAACACAGCAACAAAGAACATTGTATTTCTCCTTAGGACAACAATTTCTAACAATAATAAAAATAAAGTTGAATGACTGTTCTGAGAAATTTCTTTTGAGCACTGTTGGACACACTAAACATTCAGCCACTAGATAGAATGAAAGCATAAGATTTAAACAATAATATATTATTTAGTATAATAATGTATTTTTCTTGGTGCTTTACCAAAGATAATGGAAATTAAGCTCACTACAGGACTGAATTTAAATGGAAATAATTCTTATCACTAGATAATTTTAGATTGGCAAAGGATTTTACATTTTTCTCATAAAATTCCTACTTATGAAAAATTTCAAACCATTTGAAATGTTCAAAACTTGGAAAATATGCTTACAAAACTTTCATTTGCAGATTGCAAAAAACAATGTAATAAAATATTTGCTTACATTTTTCTTAATTTTTTACAGGCATGTATTTTATAGCCATTTTTAATTCCAACCTTTTTTCTTTAATAAAACTTATGAGTATCAAAAAAAAAAAATGATAGATTTTTAACAAGTTACTACCAATAATTTTGTCACAAGAACAAAATTTTTTTTCAGGTATTAGTATTTTATTTTTTCAGGTATTATTTTAAAGAAAATTAATAAACCTGATTGAGAGAAACATTTTCTAGGTTTATATTAAATTTGATATTGAAGTATAATGCTTGCAATAAAAATAGCTTAGTCCCAAATAAACTTATCAAATGTTAAATTTCAAATAATTTAAAACCTCAACTGATATTTTTATTTGAGAAACCAAAATTTAAATTAGCAAGTGAACAAATTTTAAATATTATAAATCGTAATTTTCCAAAAATTACATATAAGCACAATATCAGGATCATGTAACGATGACCAATAGCAAACAATATTAGTACACATTTCATTTTTAAGACAGGGGAAGAATAGTAAAAAGTCATACAAAAGAAAGATGCAGTCAGTCAAAGAAATGCAATGGAGTCTCATGCTCAAAGTTGAATAGTGGCAGCCAAGTGAGTAGCTCCTACTGACTAAAATAACTTAAAATTTTAATTGCTATTTATAAAATGGTTTCTTTTATAGTAAAATCAAATTTGGACTTCTATAACTGAAATGTATATATTTTACCAGTAAAAGTTTAAATAAAATGAATTAAAAGCCAATACTAAGAATATAAATTTGTACTGACAATTTTGTAATCGTTTTTCAGTTTGGGTTACTGAAATTATATAATAGCCTATTATATATATATATATATATATATATATATATGAAAATACTGAATGAAGCATGAAAATCACTTACAAAATTTTTAACTTTAATAAAGGAGAAAGATATTTAATTTGAAGACCTGAAGAAGTTGCTTAAAATTTAAATAGTTAATAAGCAATCACTAATGTGGTTGTAAAAAGAAACCAACAGAACTGGTAAGAAACTAAACCTTTCCCCATTTTGCTTGTTCAAATCTTGCATCACATACATATTGGTAACATTTTAACCAATTACTTGTCTGCCTTTCCTCAGGAAAAATTACAATGCAGAAAACCTTAACTGAATAATAAATATTTTCTATAGATTTGTGATCAACATAAAAAGGATTTCACACGCACACACCACAATAAAAACCCACAATTGTGATATCTATAAACCATACAAATCTAGAAAGAGTCTAAACTAGAAAATCAGATATCTAGCACACCATCCAACTAAATGCTTACAAATGCCAGAGCAGAGCAAAACAAGCATATGGCAAGAAAAAAAAAAAAAAAAAAAAAAAAAAAAAAAAAAAAAAAAAAAAAAAAAAAAAAGAAAGAGATAAAAATGCAACAATCCTAGAAATCTAAAACATAAAAACAGAAATAAAACCTCAATTTATTATTTCTCTATAATTATACAAATTGCAAACAGCAGCCAAGGGATGAAGGAATAAAAAATACAACAAAAAAAATGTTTAAAAGTTATTTTCAATTATGTTTTGAAAGCTCAAGTACAAGATTGTAATTAAAAGTGCAGTACAATATAATAAACTGAACTAATTTAGATTTAAATTCACAAGATTAAATGAATTTGAAAATGAAAAACCAATTTTACCACTGAGAAAGCATTTGAATATGTTTAACATCTTAGCATATGTTAAAAATAAATGTATATGATTATTTTATCATCAATTCTGTCATGGTATTGAAAAATATGCATGATAAACATTAATAAAGTTATACTTTTGGAGAAGAAAATGGTATATATATATATATATAAAATAAAGACCGAATTAAATCAGAAATGCCTTTTCAAAATTTTAGCAAAAATACTTCAGATGTATAATTTATATATCATACAGCAATTGGTGGGAATACAAAACTGGTTATAAATTGAAAACTAAGCCATAACTTTACTTTTGTACTTAAAATTCTCTGTGTGTGTGCACACACACAACATTTCTATTTCAAAATAATTTAATTTTTATTTATATTTGGCATACTCATTCACCATTATGCAAGAAAGCAATATGTAGAAATAAAAATCTTTCAGGTTTTTTTTTTTTTAAGAAACCAATGGGAAAAAAAAAATATGATCAGCATATAATTTTTGATGACCATGACAAAAAAAAAAAAAAACTCATAATGCAACATCAGATCAACTAAATAAAAATTAAGAAAAAGAAAAGAACTTAAACTAAATGACTTCATTAACATCAGACATATAGATATGATCGATTTTAATTATACTTTAAAAGAAATCCTTGTTGGAAAATATTAATAATGCTTAAAAATTAAAGTAATCAGATACTGTTAAGAAATTTAAAGCAGTAAAGTGAATTAAAAAGTAACAAAACATTAAATGTGTTTATCAATTAGGAGAAAAGGCACTATGTTCTCATTTTACTTTCTATATGCACTCAAAATTGTCAAATTACTATGAATATTGAATATTGTCATCTATTACATTTTATAGGAAAAAAAAGAAAAATAAATCTATATCCTTGAGTAAATTTTAATAGAAGCAAAGCCTGTTACAAGAGGAAAATCCTGAAAAGGGCAGTTGAAAGCACATGCCAATATATCATTTAAAAGCAAAATAAGGTAAGACAAGGCCAGGTGTAATGACATTTCAGAAAGAGCAGAAAGAAAGAAAATTATCGTAAGTCCAATGTTCAATGTACGGAAGAGGAGAGGAGGAAACAATAGAAAAAAAGGAGGAAACAATAGAAAAAAAGGAGGAAAGGAAAAACAAACATTTCTGAAAATTGTCAATTTCACAATATTTGGAAAGAAGCCAAGCAAAAGACGAGAATGATATACAAATAAATTTTCAATTTCTTCTAAATGCAAATTGATTTTCTTAATCAAAATCCTTAAATTTAAAAATTTTTCAGCCTGACAAACATTTACCCACACTAACATTATTACTGTCAGATGTGTAATAAAAAACTGTCAAACAGAATTCATAAATATAAACTTACTATTTTGTTTTTACAATTAGTCAGCTATTTACTCAGCATCAAGAATGTCTTATGAAGATTCAGTTAAAAAAAAAAAAACCTCCATGAAATCTACAAGATTCTGTCCAGTTTAATCAAGTCATTCAACTGATTAAACAGTTCTTAAGTTAGGATATTTTTTTTTTAAAGTTATCTAGAAAGATTTCTTAAAAAACTGGTAAGTGAAATATAATAGTTCATGAATTTTTAGTTACAATTTGCATATAAATGAAAACATTTGAAATGACACAAATGGATTACTGTTGTTTACTTTTTTTTTTTGCATTAATTCCTTTAATAACCTAAAACAAAATCTAACATTTTTTTTCTAGCCGTTAAATCATTTACATATTCATGATTCTTGATTTTATGTCTGTGGATGCAACAATTGTATTAAAAAAAAAAAAAAAGAGGCATTCTGTAGATAAGCAGCTGTTAGAAAAGAAAGTCTAAACTGAATATTTCTGATAATATTTATATAAGTAAAACAGCAGCAACAGGGTAGCAGAAGTGTTTTTATACAGCAACAGCAGCAGCATGTGAAACTGTAGAAGCAAACGGAAATAGCTATGACTTTGAATTACTGTAAAAGAAACTACTTGCTTAGAAGACAGGTAGCATTAAGTGGTTACAGCATTCTGGCAACTAAGTTGGTAAGTATTGACCTACCTCATCCAATCGCCGCTCAGTCCCTAAGGCAAGCATGTTATTGAATTCCCGTTCTAATAGCTGTCTGGTCTAGAAAGAAAAAAGATAGAAAAAAAATAAGCAAAAATGATGCTTTTTAAAAAACAAAACTGAAGCAAAATTTCTTTATTTTCAGTTAATTACTTAAAAAAAAAAAAAAACAAAAAAAAAAAAAAAAAAAAAAACAACCAAGTCTTCCAATTTAAAAATAAAATTAATATCTTCCACCTGAATTTCTGGAGGGAGAAGTTTTCATTTAAATGCAGACTATTGTTTTTATTGTTATCATACTGTTTCAGCCAACGGGCCCTCTGGCCTTCATCAGATGTAATTTGGTCCTGGTATAAAGAGTATTTCAAATGGAACCCTTTACTTAATCTAAGTAGATTGTTCTCATACCACTATCTAGGGATATCTTGTCTCATCCTTATTTTATTACTGTTCAAGTAGGTACCTCCACGAGATCGCTAAAAAAAAAAAAAGAGCATGATGAAAAAGACGCCAAACTTGATGAAAGCAAAATTTTATCGTCTAAATGTTTGTTATTTTTAAGAGGAAAGATCAAAGTATTTTGGGAGTATTTTTTTTCCATTTTTTAATCTTTCCTAGCATGTCCGAAATTTTCATTAAAAATCTTGTTTTTTTGAGTCAGCAAAATTGACCATTTTTTTCCCATTTTATGATTTGATTTTTTTTTTTTGTCATATTTAAAAACAAAAATAAAAAAACTTAAAACATTCTAATGATAGAAGAAAAATCCAATATTTTTTATACATTGCTAGAATGCTCAGCTCTACCAGAAAATATTTTCCTACATTAACAACTCGGGTTAAAAAAAATGTTCTAGCATTACAAGTAAGAAAACGTCTTTTCTAATCTTCGCTTTAAAATGATATATTAATATTTTCTTATTTGTAATGCTACAGCTATTTTTTTTTTTTTTTTTTTTTAACTCTGAATCATTAATGTAGAAAAATATTTTTAAATTTAAAAAAAAAAAACACACACACACACACACACACACATAAAAAAGAAACCTTATGTATTTTTTTTTTTTTTTAAATATAAAATTGGAAAAAGCAAAAAGTGCAACTGACCTGAGTATTCTGTGTTGGAATTTGTAAGGCTAACGCCATACTGTTATGATCAAAACTTTCATCCAATGCAACTAATGCTCCATGAACTCCAGATTCAAATAAATTATTTGCAAATTCTTTCAAACCAATTGATTGGACCCATTTGATGACACGTTCATTTGTCCACACAAGCACGTCTACAGCAAAAGAGAAAAACATGGAATTTAGTAAGTTGAAACCAAAAGATTTCATAAATGATATCTTATTCCAGAGAAAAACATTTGCAACTCTAACTTATGAGAGTAAATATTAAAATTAAAATTTACTGATAAACAAAAACAAATACAAAAATGCACATTTTCAACATTCATAACTAAATAAATTTAAAGAATTTTCTGAAAAGATGAATGCAAAATTTTTATGTCAACTGATACTGTTTTCAACGTGTTATCCTCCCAAATGCTTTTCTGCTGCAAAATATTTTAAATAGGAAAATATATATTCCACTTAAAACAGCTTCATGCGAGTTGAAGGATATTTTTTTTTTTTTTTTTTTTTTTACTACCGAGTTAGTCAAATTTAATATTCTCAAAATTCTCAAGATTTCTTGAGAATTTATATGCCAAAGTATTAAAAAACTTTCAAAATACATTGTACAAATATCTATTTGTATATTTAATGTAATCTGACCTTAGTTTTTCTAAATGGTAGAAAACTAAAAGTAGTATAGTAGATAACTTAGTTAATCATGGATTTCAATGGAATTCCTGTCTGGTCTTAATTTTAACCTTTCTTTAGATTCTCTAATAATCAAGGATCTCTCATACCTTCAGGTAGTTACAGTAGCATCAGCCTGGAAGGCAAATAGTGTTCAAAACTGAGATCTACCTTATATAGAAACCCAAACAAATTAGCAATTGACTTCTGACCAAAGACTGCATAGCCAAGGGGCAGAGGAAGGACTCCATCCATCAAAATGTAGGGATATAAAAATTAGTAGTTTCTAGTTAAGAAACAAAACTACATTTTTCTCCATTCCTTCATTGTAATATAATAGAGTCAGTGGACATTGTATTTGATTAAATAAAATATCAGTTACCAAGAGAACACCATCTGACTCCCCCCACTATTTGTCACACACATACACACACAGCAATCCATGAATCTCTTAGGACTGCTAATCATGACAAACATTAAGCTTAAATTTATACAACCTGGGAGGTGGGGTTAGCAGATCATGTTTTCTCTTAGTGAATGACTGTTGACCACTTCTACATATTAAGTAGGACAATAATTGGTTGGTGTAGAAGGATTTGAAAATGCTACAATTTCAAATTAATTCCTATTTTGATAGTTCATGGAAAAGAGAGAATATGAAATAAATATAAATATTAAAAATAATAGAAATCCAAAAAGAAAAAAGAAAAAAAATGAATCAAAACCTTTAATTTCTGATGAACTTTCCTCACGGCGTCGTTCAAGTTCTTTTCTGTCATAATTTACTTTTTTCAAACAATTTATCCCGTATTGCAAACTTGTCCTTAAAAGCAAAGAAAAATCAAAGTTAATTCTCAATCAGGATTTTTTTATAGAAGAGAAAAAAGTGATATATCAAAACAATATGCAGAAAAATCATTTTTTAATGAGGGTGAGGGTAAATCAATATGTGTGAGAGAGTTAAAGATCAAAGATGAATCAGAAACTGACAGGATGATAAATTAAAAGACAAATATGAAACGTATATCAATCTAACATGTTTCACTTTTATTAAAGCTTTGTCAGAGATAGAGAGAAAACAGACAAAAAGACAGAAACACTGGTATAAAAGCAAGTCATTAACAAAAAGATACTTACCGATGAAAACTATCTACCATTTTTAATTGCCCACGCAAATCTTTCTTTGTTAAATGATCCAGCATTCGTGCATCCACGAGGCATTCCATAAATGTGCTCCGGTATTGAGGTAAACCGAGGCTGGGTAGCCATTCATTGCCTATCCACTCATGGTTCATATCACCAAACGCCAAAGGCTTTGAAAAAAAAAAAAAAAAAAAAAATTTTTTTTTATTTAACTTAACATTCTTGGTAGGTTAAGTATATTATAATTAAACTGAACATAATCTACACAAAATCCCACTTTGAATAAGTTATTCCATTTCAAAGTGAAAGAAATGTATCCAAAAATGCAACTTTTTGGGTTTTTTTGTTTTTTAGTGGTTCAGCTCATTTTAATCAAATTCGGTTAAAAATAAATAACCTTACAAATGCAACTTGACTGCTAATTATTTCAAGAAGTTTAACAATCTATCAAATTTAAGTAAGGTTTAATCAAACAATTTTATTATGCCAGACATTAAAGAAAAATAGTTTCAACAGATAAACATCTTTTTGTAAATTAACAGAGATTAGTATTAAAGCTAGAGTTAGCTAAGTTTGAATTTAAAAAAATTTTGTAGGTTAAAACTTCAATTTGAATTTCAAGAAGTTATTTAATGTTTTATAAAAAGTAAAAATTAAAAAATACTACAGACTGTGCTGCAGTTATTTTCATTAATTATGAAAAGGTGAGGGATTTTAAGAACTGCATTACATAGACAGATGACGAGAAACAAATGTAAGCTAGTTCAAATAAAGTTATTAAAAAGAAAAAAAAATTTTTCAAACTGTAGATTTTTATTTTGTTTTGTTTTTTTCAATCTGTATAAAAAAAAAAAAATTGTTTTTAAAATGCATATTACTGCCCATTAAATTAAATAGTTCATTTTCTAATAATATCCAAAATTGATCTGGAATGTGAGCAATAAAGTATAGAATGCTCTTAAAGCTTCATTTTCAAGGGGAATTAATTTTTGTCAACATTAGTACCAGTTGTAATTGTTCATTTTAAGGCAAAAATCACTTAATTGCTTAATTACATAATTAGATGTAAATAGAAAAATGAAAGAATTGGAGTTAGAATTTATATATTATACAGACTAAGTAAAAATAAAATAAATAAATCTCACTATTTTTATACGATGAAGGGGGTGGTGGGCAAATAATACAATCTAGTAATCATGAAGGATATTTTAGTCTTGCAAACTTGTCATGCTTGAATATGACAGTATGATAAAATATATTTCTTAGAGCCTGAATGTGAAAATATTAATTATTATTTAACAATAATAAATCCAGTTACCAAAGCATTACTAGTATAATGAGTTTAGTCCTCATTGGATGGCCTAGAAGTTCAGATGCTAAACTAAATATTCATTTAACAAAAAAAAAAAAAAAAATCTGAATGTAAATTTTTGCAAATAAGCTCATTAAAATATTTTACCTTAACTCATATTACATATATTTAAAATATAACCATGTTCATAGGATTTTCAGCATTTTAGAATAGAAATATTGCTAATTAATTTTAAAAAATCTTTTAGAAAATAACCAATATAGAGATATTTACATTATGTAATTTCTTTAAGATAAAGTGTTTTAAGTGTTTAAGTCAAGTGTCTCAAAGAGAGAAAAATGCATAAAAAGCTGTGAATTGTTATAAATTAAAATGCAATAAATATAAGTTTTATGTTGGCTCCTCCTTTACCTTCTACAGATTTTTGATCAACAGTACAATCATTTAAAAAAAAAAAAAAACGAACATCTGTCACAATGATAAAAACTAAGTTAATGTTTATATATTTTAATTTTAATGTGATAACTTCTCAGACAATTAACTCGAGGTGAAATTGTGTTATAAACAAACATATTTCCTATTGACATGTATTGTCAATGATTTTTTATTTTATTTTAAAACATGGAAAAAAAAAAAAAAAAAAAAGCAAAGACACTATTACAAAGGATTTAAAAAATTACTCACTGTCTGGGAAGGCTTTGGTGCTGATGGGCTCGTAAGGCTGACCATCTCTTGAATGGCTAAACGCAACTTAAGGCGGTGAAGTGGATTACTGATGCCAATTTCTCGCTGTATTTCTTGGTCTGACAGGGCTGACATAATGGCACCACTTTTCACATTAGCTCGACATGCAGCTACATACCAGGCAGGCATGCCAACCCATAACTTCGAAGAAAAGAAAAAAAAGATTGGGTGAATAGTAAGAATACTTCACTGTTTATCAACAAAATTGTATATTTTGAAAATTCATAATAAAATTCACAATAAAATTGAAGTTTAATATTTCCCATGAATGCATTATGCAAATACAGGGCTCAAGATTGACATTATTCTGGGGATGAGATAACATTAGTCTGGGACAAGTGGTTAGGTTTTTCGGGATAATGCAGAAAGGATACAAAATTTATTAAAAATGTCACTTAATTTATTCTAAAAGCAACTAATTTCTTAAAAAAATTTTTTTTTAATTTCTCATCACCAATACTGATTAGTGTCAGACACACACACACAATAAAACTTAAGCAATGAATGAAATCTAAATGAAGTTCGAAGGACTTAAATTTAGACATTTGCATACTATTTATTGCTAAACATGAAAAACATTAACAAACATTGTTATTTTTTGCTTATCAAACCAAACTGAGAATGCAAAAGAGACTTTAAAAAATGATAAACAGAAAATTTAATCACTACACGAGGCAGGTAATTGTAAATTAAATTTTTTGATAAAGACTTTAAAAACTTTGAACTGTGAATACGAAAGCGTCAATATCCTTTATATAGAAAATGAATGCAGAAAGTACAATTCTTAAAGTATGATAAAAGTTATAACCATGAAAAGAATATTTCCATGTAAAATTTTTCAGTGTTTTAAAATGTTTAAGTAAATTTAACATTGATTTTTGTAATAAGACTGCAGTAAAATTTAACTAAAAATTTTATAGTGAAATTGCAATAGTTTGTTTTAGTATTTATTCATTTTAAAAACTTCAAACTTTTCTTTTTAAAAATTCTTGTTACAATCAATATTGATAAAGATTCATTTCCTAAACATTTTAATAGTGTTTTTATTATGGAATAAAAACTACAAATGGAAAAGTTAAAAGACTTGGGACAGCTCTTGGATAAGGGTGAAAAAAAGTTAATCTAATACCCCAAACAAATGAGGACAATATACAAATGAATATAAAAATCTCTATAAACAAAGAATATTCAGTAAAATATAAAATATTGAAAAATTACAATATAAACTTTCAGACAATTTATTCTACATAAAACTGAAACTGGCAGCATGAAGCTAGTGCATATATTGTCAATTATTGTGATGAAAAGGAAGCTTCAAATGAAGTTATAGAAGCAGTTTTTTTATTCCAGTCACTACAAAACTAAAAATACAAAGATTCAAAAGTTTCATTTATTTAATGTTAATTTATAAACAGAGAAACAAATTTATTGCTTACTCCAAATTAATGTTGGAAGTAATTTAATTCTTACTCTATATGAGAGTACATACAATTAACCTGTTTGAAAACAAAGTCTCAGTTTTATTGATACAGCATTTACAACAATAAGGGAGATAATTCAACCACAGTCAAACATTCCCCCCACCCAATCTCTTTCATTGATATAATCAAGTACCAACTTATCAAAGAAAGGAATCAGTGTATTTAAAGGGAAGGCATTATACAATAGAACAAGAGCTAGTTACAAAATCCTTTTGAAAATGCAATTAGGAGAGAAAAAAAATCAATTTTAGTGCTGAAAATCTGGTCTCAAAGGACGACTATTTGCCAAAAACTACATGACTATTTGCCAAAAACTACATAACTATTTTCATTTCTCCTAATTACTTGATTGACAAATGTTTTCAAAAGGAATTCCAGAGATGTCTTAATGACTAGTTTATTCAAGTAGCTAAACAATATCGGTATGAGAAGGAAAGAAATTGCAGGATGTTAACATTGTTATTTTAGGCTTCTTCCATTATTATATTAATGAACTTCATGATAAAATTAATGTTACAGGATAAAACATTAAATGCAACATGTTCAATATTTTCTTTGTTTGATAAGCATGCTTACCTCTAGCCAAGCAACAACAGTAGGTCCGTTCCATAGGGCAAATGGAGTACCAGCTTTCATTGCCTCTTCCAGTAATTCATGCCTAATAAAAATTTAAAAAATGAACTCAACACACAAATGAAGCATTGATTAAATTATGTTTACAATTTATATTTGCATTAGGTTATTTTTTTTCCAGATTTTCCTGTGTTTAATTTATAACAAAGATCTTGAATATTTTCGAATAAGAAATAATTAAAATAGTGTAAGATTACATTTAGGTTCTTATTCTCAAACTGTATCCCAGAAGAGATTTTCTTGAAATAGTCTTACAGAGCAAATAAAGAAAAATATTAAGAATAGAATATTTTGCTGACAAAATAATTTTCAGAATACTGTTAAGAAAAAAAAAAAAAAAAAAAAAGAAAAAAGAAAAAAAAAAAGGGGGGGAAATTTGAAAATGTAATTTGCTAAGTGCAATAATAGTTTGGATTTGAGAATATTTTGAATAGTCTCATATTTACTTAAATTTGAACCAGTATTCCTTTCCAGGTTTTTTTTTTTTTTTTTATACAATATTGAAAACAATATTCTGCCATTTTTTTTTTTTCAATACATTTTACCATAGCTGAAAAGAAATATCACAATTTGATGAAATTTGGTCATCAAACGTAATATAAAAAAAAAAAAAAAAAATTCAAAACCTGAAGATTAAACTTATCTGACAGGTAAGAATCAGTTTACATAATGCAATAAAAAGGACCAAGAGAAGAAATGCAATTCTAATCAATAAAGGCATAATATACAAATTAACAGCTTTTTATAATTCAACATGGATTTCATTAAAAATCTCAAAAAGAAAACTTTCAACTTTTTAAAAATATAACTAAGCAAAATTGAAAAATTATTTCACACCTAATATTAAATATTTGCATAACAATCATGTATATAAATAAAATCCAAATTTTATTAAAAATTATTCAATAAAAATTGAGTTGTAACAGATAAAAATTTTAAGAAATTAAACCATTTTAAAATACTCACTTTTTCTTTTTCCTACGATCAAATTCAGATTGGCCTAATCCTAATGCTAGAGTATCTGATGAGCCTGCTTCAAGACCATCGCCGTATTGACCACCTAAAATATTTCAATGGATAGAAAAAAAATTAGAATTTCAGAAAATAATTGTCTTAATACATTAACAACTTACAAAAGTTGTGTGTGTGTATGTATATATATATATATATATATATATATATAAAATGTACAAGAAAAAAAACAAAAACTTCCTACATACAATCCAGAAAAGTGAAACTTTAAAATATTTAAAAGCTTTCGTAAAGCATGAGATGATAAACAAGATCAGCATTTCAATGCTTCAATGGCAGAGATTTACCAAACTAAGAGCATCTTGTGATTGATTTGAGTAAGAATTAGAACATCTAAATTAATTAAAGAAATTTCTAAAGATTTAAATCATATTTAGTTATAAAAATTGTTGAGTAAGAATTTATGAAGGCAAAAGTCACTTAAAGTCATTAAAAAATCCAGTCTTTAATTAAAAAAAATTATATTGAATTGCATTTTACTTGCTAAGTTTAACAAAAGAGAAAAATAAAATATACATAAAAATATTTAATTTAAACCAATCATTTTTGGCACTGTAATTATGAAATACAATTGGCCACCAAATATAGGCTTAAAAAAGAAAATGCTATGGAAACAGCCAATGATTTGATTTTAAAAGTAACTTTTTTTTTCTTCAAGCATGTAATCACAAAACTAAAATGTACACAAGCTTTTTTGCCAAACAAACCCAGAAAAATTTTATTTCAAGTATTTCCATAATTTCTTACATTTTCCTGCAAAATTATCATATGAATTGATTAAAATTTTTATATGTATAACATTTTTAAAAAAATCCCACTATTTAAAAATTAAATAAGACCATTTTCTAATGTCATTATTTGGAAGAAACAAAAATAAAATATTTTTTCAGAGTTAATTTTTCAAATTCTCAAATTTATATTACAAAAAATAAAATTTACCAGTGGCCATATTTTCTCCTCTTATCATTGCATCTTTTGTCTTCTGTTTTTCTTTTTTGCTGAAAAGTCTTCCTATAGAGCTTTTTATACCACGCTTTTTTTGGTGTTTGTGCAAGGAGTCTTGGCTGCTATTGGCACTGCTTAAAGGACTAGGGGAGCTGTGAGCACTATCAATCATTACTGCCCTGAAAAGACAAGAAAAAAAAAAAAAAGTAGAAATCAACTTGCTTACTTAGGACAAGTCATACATTTTAAAATAGTTTTGACTATGAATATTCAGATAGATAAGAAAAAAAAAAAATCTAGTTAGACTTTTGCTTACCTAACAAATCAAACTTCAATTTACCAATTTGAAGTGTTTCAATATAAAATACTAAATGTCAATCATAAATAGTTCTACTATAGAGTTTGAGAAAATATTTAGTATAGAATTAAAAATATGTAATGACAGATTTATTTTCAAGTTTCTAGTTGATGTTAAAATGATCAAAGACAATTGTATGTTAAAATGCACTTCATAATAAACACTCATACATTGACAACTGAATGACTTAATCTATAGTAATGAGTCTTCTGTTTATGAGTGTGTCATAGCAAAATGACAAGGCATATTGACAACTTTTGACATGAAAACAAGACATCCACTTGTATTTTAGGCAATGTGAGCTTGATCTTGGAGGTGATTTGAAGTCACCAGAGATCAAAACAATTTTTCAAGGAAATCTTCACTTTTAAATATTGAAAACATTTATGGTTTATTTTTATTTTTTTTTTGTATCTCCTTAATACAGTCTCATGAAATTTTACTGGAGGAAAAAATAAGATTCTTTCATTTAGCCATGTCGTCAGAAGTCAAATAACTTTCTCAAAGACAAATCCTCTTATGGTTCATAAAGGAAATCCTTCCCTCAGATAATTATGGCAATTTTCTGGAGGAAGGTTCACTCCAACAAACGATCTCTGTGACCTCCTTAACAAAAGCCAAATTGACAATGATGGTTACTTTCTAAACATTCTGATGGTACTAACATTGCAGCAATTAAAGTGAATGCAAAGTGAATGTTGTAGGGGAAAATAAGCATTATTGCCTAATGCTTTTACAAACCATCAATGAAAAACTATGCTGCAGTATCAAATCCATCTACATTCAGCTAGGACATCCTTCAACCTGTTACCTAGTATCAGATTAGACGTTACATCAGAAACAAGGCAGCCTGAAAGACATGATTTTCTAATTAACAGGAGATACCCTGAAACTCAGCATGTTATGGCACATCTTGAGAATGAAGAAAGCATTTTCAATTGAACAGAAAATGCTAAGCAGGTGGTTCAAATACCACCAAAGACCAGCCCAACTAATTGTTTTGTTTTTTCTTTTGTCAAGTTATTTTCTTTATGCACATCCTCACTGTTGTAAACATGTCAAAATACAAAGTTTTTTTTTTTTTTCAAGTGTTAAAAAAAAAATTTTTTTTTCGTTTTGTGTAAGTATATTAAAGAACATTTTTTTTACTGTTATATTTGGAGTTATTTGCTCATCCTAGGCCATGCCATGTGTCCCTGCTAGTTGATACTTATAGAAAACAAATAGCTAAAAGCATCTGCTGATTCCTGCCAAAGATTTTCAAAATTGGATCATTTTTATTTAATCAGTGAAATAAGTGCAAAAGATTTTTTTTTTTACTAACCTCCTCAATTTGTGTGTCATCTCAGAAGAAATCCTGAAAATATTTAAGGATAGAATTATAAATAAAGCAAATCCTGTATGAAAATGTAAAAAAAAAAAAAAAATAAATAAATAAAATGTACACAGTATTGTGAAAAGTTTAAAAAACAAGAAATTCCATAAATATTGTGTTTGTCTATAGCAATCACCTATGTATAGTTGAAGAATTTCTTTTGCCAAAGTTAGTATTTACTTTTTACAAAAACAAAGTTTATATATTTTTTAAAAGAATCTGATCAGTTTTTAATAGCAGTAATATGAAAATACAATGACACAAAATAAGCAATTAACTTTTTAAATATATTTATCAAATACATGTTCAACTATGATATGCATAAGTGCTAATGAAGGGCATAAAATTTAGCACTTAAATTAGGTACCTCCACGAGATCGCTAAAAAAAGAGCATAGCATGATGAAAAAAAAAACAAAATTTTATCGTCTAAATGTTTGTCATTATTAAGAGGAAAGGTCAAAGTATTTTTGGGGTATTTTTTTCCATTTTTTAATCGTTCCTAGCACGTCCGAAATTTTTGTTAAAAATCTAGTTTTTTTGAGTCAGCAAAATTGACCATTTTTTCCATTTAAAAAAAAAAACTGGAAATCTGACTTTGAAATTTTTTAAATATCAATTATCATTTTTTCAAAACTTATTTTAAGAAAATCAGAAATTATAATGTTTATTTAAAATATTTTGAACAAAACTTAGCTTTTGTGTCAAAAAGATGTAATTTGAAAATAAAACAAAGCAGGTCATAAATGCGTCTCTTGACATGCGATGAATGATATATTTACGAATTCCATGAGGCTAATTTGTTCTACGGAAGGAGAAAAGTGAAATAATTTACATTTACGTGAACAAATTATTCACCCCGTTATTTTTAACGAAAACTTTCAGCGGCCTAATTTTTTTTTTTTTTTTTTTTGTACTTAGCTTTCACCTTTACGTTTATGATGCTTTATGGGAAATATATTCTAAAGAAATTAAAATAAAACTGTTAAGAGTGACATTAAATTTCATATTTCTTAAGAAAGGTATCTAATTTATAGGTACCTTTCTTATGAAATTTTATCAGAATTGTACATAAAATACTATAATTTTATGTACATTTATTACATTCTACTGTTATTTGTATTTGCATTCATTTTATTATTAATTTTGATATTTCATTTATGGAAAAATGTCAGAACTGAGATTAATATAAAAAATAAGATCATATAAATTTTATAAGATGATACTGACACTTGTAGGTACTCTTCTCAGTTGAAATTGAAAATCAAATTAACTTCTCCACACGTGTTTAGTAAAAGTAAAGGCCTTAACAGCGGAGAACAATGCTTAACTCAAATAACGCAACTTAATTATATTCTGGTTGGTCTTCCGTATTTTATAATTACAGCTCGATTATAAGCACAAAATTACATTTCTTAATTACTGGGGATCTTCTGATTAGTCAAAATGATACAATTTACAACGCTAAAAAAAAGATCTATCTCATAAGGACACTTATGAAAGCGAAGCGACTTTTAACTAATTTTATAATATTTTAACAACTTAAATGTAAAATCCATTATAATTAATGAAATAACAAATAATTGTATTAAAAATTCATTTTCATCGAAAAAATTTTTTTGCTTTCAGAAAATATTGTCCATATTCATAAAAACAACTAAAAGCAAATAAAAGCATTTGAAATTAAATAATATATTTGTTTTATTGAGTTTTGTATGTTACAATTCACAGCTGATTTTCAGGTACTGCATATCCAATTAAAAACAAAAAAAAAAAAAAAACAAACATGATTTGCATTCCTCAAAGCCCTGTGCTTTTAATTATTGTAATCACTAAAACCGATGCGATCGAATTTCTAGCGTTTTCATAAAATTAGTTATGGGGGGTAATAAATATTTAAAAAAAAAATATTTCTACCATGACTTTCATAAAAAAAACATTTATAATAATTTCGATCATCTGTGAATAGTTTCTGAAAGTTTCATTAATATCCGATAATTATTTCTTTTTTTTGCACGATTTTTCAAATTAATGTGTGTCATACCAAAAAAAACGTGCTAAAAATTGTCTATGTTATTTACTAGTTCGCTGATACAAATAGAAAAAAAAGGTTTTTTAATCAAAATTTAGAATGTTCTAAAAAAAAAAAAAAAAAAAAAAAAAAAAACTTTGGTCTTTCCTCTTAAGCATTTAGACAATAAAATTTAGTTTTCGGCAAGTTTGGCGTCTTTTTCATCAAGCTATGCTCTTTTTTTAGCGATTTCGTGGAGGTACCTAACTTAAATGAAGTCATAGGTAGCCAAATAATGTTTTACAAAATTATTTTTCTACTTACAACTACTGGCCACATTTAGGAATAAAAGTTACCCTGGCTACTTGGAAGAGAAAAAATATAAAATTTCACTAACAAAACACTATCAAAAAAATTATGTGAAGGAAAAAAAAAAAAAGAAAGAATAAACAAATAGAATAAACTTGGTAAATTCTAATTTTATAATTAAAGAAAAAAAATGGAACTTATGAGTTAAATAATTCAGCTCGAATTCATAAAGAGGTTTGGAATGAATAGTTAAAAGGAAAAAAAAATGTTTATATAATGTACTTGTTTTAATAAAGCACTGCTTACCTTTCATCACCACTTTGGGCTAAAGCAGCAGCTACACGTTCCAATCGGATAGAATGTGGTGTTGGTGGACTAGATTCACATTTGATTTGATGTCCTTCTTCAGGGATTGCACTATCATCACGACTATACTGAACAGCAGGCTGAAAAAAAAAAAAAAAAAAAAAACGAAACATATTACTTAGCACAAAGTTTGCATATAAAAAGAAATAGAATAAGAGTAATATAGAACAATTATACATTCAAGATGTTTTGAAATGTATTTGTAACATCTATGTCCAATATATTCTCCATTCTTCTTCAGATTACATGGTATTGTAATCAATAAAGGGTGATTTCTGTTACCATTTAAAAGAAAAAAATCCATGGTCAGTTTATCATTATAAACTAAGAGAGTGGTTCTTGAAAATAAAAAGTATCAAATGTTTCACTATATGAGAGAAAGTTTTCGCTGCACAAACAAGAATAGATTAAAAAAGAATAAAAATGTTTATTCAGATTTTTGCAAGTGAGTTTTTAACTCTTTATAATTACATATTTACAGATTGTGTGTGTGTGTACACACACACACACTGACCCAGGAAAAATTATAGGCCGTGCAAATCTGATATGGTCTTCATACTATGAAATATAGTTCAATAATACACTAAAGTAGTTTTAAACTGAAAATAAACTTTTCAATCTAGGTAAATTAATAGAGAGAAAAAAAGAAAGGAAAAAAAAAAAAAAAAAAAAAAAAAAAAATCAAGGCTGAAACATTTTACAACTTTAAATAGTTTTTTTGTTTTTTAATGTTTTCTTTATTATCTTAAAATGAAAAACAAATATGAAGTAGTAAATTCATCACACACAAAAAAACAAAACAAAAAAAAAAAACAACAACAAAAAAGATTATCATAAACATCAATCAGGGAGGAGGGTCAGTTTCAATTTTTTCCTTTTTTCTTTTTAAAGAAAATGCATGAAAACAGACTGGGCAAAAGTGATTTAAGCATGACAGTTTGGACAAAATACAATGAGTAAGTACTTTATACAGTTTTAAAATGCATCATTAAAAGAAAAAGATTTAAACTGTAATATCCATCAATGAAACAAATCTGATTTAAAATTGGGTCCAGCTGGCAATGTTTTATTCACTATCAGAAATGTAAATTTTGATGCATCGGACCCAACTGTTTTGCATGAAATATGCTCTTTTTCATCATGTGCACATGGAGTTGTATGGATGCAACTGATTATTAAAGATGAGACATTCCTATAGAAGGAGGTGTAATTTTAAATGTAAGTTGAATTTCTCTGGTATTTCATCCACTAAAGATTTTAACTTAGAAATCTTTTTGCAAAACAACTTCAAACCTTACAGTTAACCCATCAAAACAATAGTCTCCTCTTAAAGGGGGAGACTATTTTGATATGTGTAAGGAGACAACTTTGCACTCAATAAATGTTTCCATTTCACTTGGAGAAATTGTTTGTAAGATTGAGGAAAATGCTACATTTCCTTCTTTTCTCTCAAGAGGATCTGATTCAATTTGCAGCCACCAATAAGAAAGAACTTCATATTTCTGCTTTACAAGAGCATTATAATCAACATCCAGTAAATGTTGAATAAAAATCGGCAATTTTATATTATTTTTTATAAAAATTATAATCTAATGTTACATGTATGCAACTGGTGTATGAGCTTTGCATCTACCTGGAAAGAATATTAAAGTAATAAAATAAGATATTTAAAAATGAATTTCAAAAAAAAAAAAAAAAAAAAAAAAAAAAAAACATTCACTTTTTATATTATGAATACAAAGATAAATTTAATGTGTGCAATAATAATAATAAGTGAATTTCATACAAGAGAAAGGAGATATCAATGAACTGCAATTTCTTACCCATAAAAAAAGATAAAATTCTTTTACTATAAATCATTTATGATAAAAAATTAAAAAAAAAAAAAAATTTAAAGTGACTGGTAACATTATTCAAAATATTTTCTACGTTACACTTAAAATTTTCATATTACACATTGTAATATTACAAAATAAAATAAAAAAAGAAAAAAAAAAAAAAAGAAAGAAATACAACTTTGACTAATTTCCTGAATACTATACTCAAACTTTACTTATTATAGTGAGCAATTTCAATTATTGTCATAAACCAAGCATGAAATAAAAATCCTGTGAATGTTTTTTTTTCAGTTCATGTTTTAAAAGGAACGATATATGCTGGAACATGTCTTAATATGGTATCAACAATATAAACAATGTGATTTTCAACCAGTTATCATTCATTGAGTCAATTCAGAGTTCAAAAGTTATTTGTTGGTATAGACCAACAAAACAGTCATTAGAATTTAATTAAAAGAAAAAAAAAATCTTAGCCTAACATTAAAAAAAAAAAAAAAAAAAAAAAAAAGATAGTAAATTAGAAATTAAAACTACAAATAAATAGTATTTGTTATAGTATTAAAATATTTTAAAGTCATTTTTACTTAACATTGTCTCAATAAAACCAGGTAATTTTAAGAAAGCTTTCCAAGCTTTGGACAATTTAAATTCTTCCTTATAGTGTTAATGTTACTTTTGCATGATCCAGTGTATAGCCATTGTGGATAACATGGGGGAGGACTTAACTGATGGAGATAGCAACAGAAAATGGTCACCAACCAAATCAGTCTTCTCTTAAAAGTTATAGCATTTTATAAACAGAAAAATAAACCAAAAACAAAAAATGGAGTTGCACAATAAGCACTATAAATAATCAATAATCATTTTTTATCTTAAAAAATAAATAAATAATATTGTGGGGTGGGGGGGGAGCATTTATAACATAAATTGATCCTACTACAGGAGCCAAAATAAAATATGCTGATACTAGGCATTTTAAACAAATTTTATTTTCAATAACACACACACACACACACACATATATATAAACAAAATATTCGTACACTATGAAATTTTTTAAGATTTTGCTAGATTCTTCCAATTATCCTATTACCAGAACAATCTAGAACATTCTGCAATTTGTTTCTTATATCGCTGCACACAAATCATACACAATAATTATCATCATGGGGAAAGGCAAGAAACTATCAAATTCACAAAAAGAATTGATTATCAAACATTGGAAGGAAGGCAAAAGCTATAGGAAAATAGTAGATACCCTGAATATAAACATTTACTACAATTAGTTCCATTATCGCTAAACATAAAAAGATGAAAACTGTTGAGAACAAATCAAGATCTGGTGCACCACACAAGATTTCTCCCAGATCAAGGAGATGAATTCATCGCAAAATTCAAGAAAATCCAATGACTACTTGGAGAGAAATATAGGAAGAATTAAATTAGCATCAGAAATTGTTACGAAGCGAACAATAAGCAATGAACTTCATAGAAGTCAACTAAGATAGTCTTCAAGAAAAACTCCTCTACTCTTGAAGAAACATAGGCATGCCTGGTTAAAATTTGTTTGTGAGCATAAGAATAAACCTGAATCATTTTGGGAGTGTTTTATGGACAGATGTATCAAAAATTAAACTATTTGGGTGTAATTCAAGGACTCACGTTTAGAGAAAAGACAAGACAGCCTTTGTACCAGAGAACACAATCCCAACAGTGAAATTTGGTGGTGGCAATATCATGGTTTGGGGATGTTTTTCTATTCATAGTACAGGTATTTAGAGATAATAGATGGTAGAATGAATTAAAAAATATACCAAGATGTTTTGGACTCTAATTTGTTTGGGTCAGTAGAACTTCGAAATGAATGGGTTTTGCAACAAGATAATGACCCTAAATATATGGCTAAATCTATGAAAAAAACGGCTTACAGAAGACAATGTCAATACATTTGAATGGCCATCATAGGTCTCCAGACTTGAATCCAATAGAGAATTTGTGGTGTTTATTAAAAATTCAAGTTAATTAAAGAGCTACAAAAAAGCATCCTGGATCTAAAGAGAATATGAAAAGAATGGAGTAAAATACCAACAAACTTGCAAATTATTGATTAAAAGCTACAGAAAGAGACCGATTTCTGTTGAATTGAGTAAGGGATAGGCTACAAAGTATTAAATAGGTACTATAATTCTGTAAGAATATTTTTCATGTCCATATTTTTTAATTTCATTAATATAACAAATTTTTATTTTATTTTTTTTTTTGCATATTGCAGCCTTATGCCATGGTATACAAATATTGTAAAAATTCATGGTGTAAAATACTTCTTCCCCACATAAAGTGTGTGTGTGTGTGAGAAATAATAATACTACAGGCATAGAGAATTTGACAAAACCTAAAAAATCGGTACCAAATTGATCTTGGTAGCTCAATTAGCAATGAAGTTATGATCATTCAAAATTTGTCAGTTTTCTGTCTCATGCTATTGGACAAAAAAAAAAAAAAAAAAAAAACAATTTCAACAGTGTATGCAAGCTTCAGACTAGTTAGAAATCATTATAAATGTAATCTTGAAGTAAAAGAAATAGAATACTAATGGAATGAAGATCAAACCAGTTTAAACATTGGGAAAAATTGCATTCTCGAAAATGACAGTGAAGACATGATACTGAAGGACACTTTTGACTGATCACATTATTACTGATTATGCATTTCCAAAAAAAAAAAAAAAAACTTTTTTTTTTTTTTTTTTTTTTTTACACATTAATAAAAGGTTTGTTTTGTTTGTTTAATGGCATATGAACTCTTGGTTCTAGGAACATTCACCATAAACATTTCTGCCGTAGTAAAACTTGCTTCAGGAGTTTTAGCTGTAGAAAACTTTGCTATATAGGATTTTTTTGCCGTAAGACAATTTCGCCACATTTTTTTTCAAATATACGAAGTACCTTGTTATCGAAAGTATATCCAGCTCACACTATTGTTACTTTGATTTAAACATTTTAATAAGCAAAGTTATAGGATCAAAATCCATCATTCATCCTTGTCAGTGAGAAGCGAAAAATTTCAACTTGACACCAGAACCTACGTCACACAATTTCATATTTCAGACTTAACATTAAACTTTTGGTTAACATAACATCAGTCTGCCAATAATTCTCACTCAAGCAATATATATTATTTCAAACAAACTTACAACTTGAATACGCAACCAACTTCAATATAAAATAACTGATCAAAGAAAG